TCATCCACACTGTGATGTTGTAAACAGCAAATACATTTATCAACCAAATGGTTTTGAAAAAAAAATAACTCTATTACTGATTATTTGTAAAGCACRAGGGCCACTCCTCAGGCAAAAGTGATTTGCGTCTAATAATTAGAGCACCTTTGCCATAGAGCAGCACTATCTAGATGTCAGTGGGAYAAAAGCCAACTTGTGCAGCATGCATGGAAAAGAGCAGGTACCCTGTTACTGAATTCAAAGATCATTTTGTTCTAACCTGCCTTTRTTTGACTCTTTTCTGTCCCATTACCAGAATATAGTAGAACAAAGCCTATCTCTTCCAAGTATACATTCGATTAATGGGCTTGCAATGTACTGTAATTTGGTGATACGCTCTGTGCTTGGTGGATTTATAGGGTAATAAGCTGGTGCATACTGATGAGCCTCAATTGGAGGTGTTTGTACTGTGTTCTTTGTATTAATACAGTCAGGACTTTCTGTAGATATAGAGGGGCAAGYGGGCTTGCTTTATTGTGTTAAATTTGCAGTCGAGATTGTGCCTCTCTCTCTTCTCTTTTTGCCATGCTGCTATGCATCTTTTTAAGCACTTGRTAGTTCCAGTCAATCAAATTGCAGRAAATTGGATTTTATTTAAAAGTTTAATTGGATTGATTTTATGTGAATAATATTAGAAAATGCCCTTTATGTGGTAAATATTCAAAATTTTAGGAATGTTAAAATCTTTTTTCTTTCAGAAGGCTTGCTGTSTGAAAATGTAAATTTTGCTTGTCAAAGATTATAACCCATTTTTCAACTTTTCAATAACTGGACTTTCTTCAACTGWGTGATTGTAATGCAATCATTGCTGTCAATTTTTCCATTCTGTCTATTCTTACGTAAACATTTCTGGCTTTCATGAACAGATGGATTAAGTTTTSTTGATATGATTCCTTGTTTGAGATTCCTAACTAGTTGCTCTAATAGATTAGCAAAGTCATTAACCARTGCATTCAATAATTTGACAGATTAAATACAATTTATTGATTATTAAATAGGCCATTTTAAGTAAACTACTTATAGTGTTATTAAGTAGTTACAATGTTATTAAGTTAGTTATTAAGATAAAAGAGTGGAAAGTCTGCATGTCATTAACATTTTTGAAATACAGTCCTTATGCATTTAAATTTTGTATGTAATTAAATAATTCCCTGTATTAGAGGAGAAAAGTTTCTTCTTGAGGATACTGCTTTTGTCTATAGGTTTCCATTGCCAGTTATTATAGGAATTCATGGATGTATGGCAGGTATAAGATTAATACAAGATCATATCAAGCAGATTCTCACATTTTTTTCTATTAATTTGCATTTTACCRGAACTGCTCAGGATGTTTTAAAACCAAGTTATGGACCACTTGGGGTCTGTTTGTTTGTTTGTTTTGGATTTTTGGTTGGTTGATTGGTGTTGACAGAGAATGAGCTGACTTCTCCATCGCTCAGGCTATTCAAGTTCATGATTCCAGGAGAAAGCAGACTCTGGGAAACTTGTGCTAAATGCAGGACCAGAACAAACAAATCCACATATGTGGAATAAAAAGCAAACTAAAGGGTGTTTATTCCATATGAAAAACATTTCAATGGCTGGTTATCTCATAAAAGCCCTTAACAAGAAAATTTGCAATAAATTAAGGCTAGACTCTGTTCCCTGAGCTTCCCTAAAACAACTTCAAGCTCAACAAGAGCTTTTATGCCAATATAAAAATATTGACCTTTCAGTAAAAAATGCTGAATTTGGCCAGATCAGAAAGGATCTTGGAGAACTGGTTTTACAGATCTTTTCTTGGTCTTTAATACTGTGCAAGCTGAATCACATTGCCAAGCCGTTCCTTGGAGCTTTGGGCAGTCACTAGGCAAGCTCTTCAATAGATACTTCATTTTTGGATGGAATTTTCTATGCCTTTTTCAGCCAGACTTTCCATAGTCTGTTTTACCCAATTTTGTAATGTTCTTGATTTCTTGCTATTCTTGCTATTGTGATTTACACATGGAATAAACCCGCTGGAACGTGAAAGTACAATGCAGGCTCCTGGGAGCAGGTTCTTTGGGACTGAGAAGTGTCTTTTTTTTTTTTTTTTTT